GTTTCATTTCTTGGTGGACAGTAATTTTTCTGTGTTAGTTTCATTTCTTGGTGAACAGTAATTTTTCTGTGTTAGTTTCATTTCTTGGTGGACAGTAATTTTTCTGTGCTAGTTTCATTTCTTGGTGGACAGTAATTTTTTTGTGCTAGTTTCATTTCTTGGTGGACAGTAATTTTTCTGTGTTTGTTTCATTTCTTGGTGGACAGTAATTTTTCTGTGCTAGTTTCATTTCTTGGTGGACAGTAATTTTTCTGTGCTAGTTTCATTTCTTGGTGGACATATAAGGCCCCCCAGTGGCACAGCAGTATGTATGTGGACTTGCAATGCTAGAATCCGGGTTTCGATACCTGTGGTGGTCAGCATTTGGGACAATCTATTTATTGTTGCTACACTATGAGCACATGCATGTACCACATTCATTTTCGTATATGATTGTATTTTTTCCTGGGACATATACTGTGAAAATATTATGGTGGTATGTGCATGTGCTAAATGGTAAAGTTGACTCTATTTCTGTGTAAATGAGTGTTTTTATTGACAGAAATCAATACACTACCCATAATGTGCACCCCATATTGACAGACATCTTGTACAAATATTTGTATTGACTTGCTTGGAGGTGGGTTGTACCTGGACAACCAAAACCCCCACTTAGTTTCCTTTTGCAGTATTTATTGTTCACTGAATTTTAAGGCTAAAAATGGCCCTTATCGTAACCCATCTTATAACTTTTTTCTCTTTCTCTCAGAATGCCAGTGCTTTTCATATAATTTAATTGATTATATCAGTTACCTATGAGTGCCAATTACATCAGTCTTGCATGAGATGATTGATTGATGGAAATTATGATTTAACTGAGTAGTGCCATTAAAATAAACAACTAATTGAAATTAGTGTTTATAACTACCCAAGTTAATGAAAAAATTACCCTTATGATTTATTATTTTTTATTAATTCAAGGTTCTTCAACTTAATTAGTGTTACAACTCATGAAAATAATCAACTACTTGAAATTAATTGATTAGCAAATTGCATTCATAGATCAGCTCTGTAATTTACCTTAAAAATCGTGTTTTTCTTCTTCCAGCCGTGAAGTGCAATGACAATCCATTACTGTTGGAATTACTTGCTGTACTAGGACTGAATTTTGATTGTGCCAACAAAGTGAGTATTACTTCTAAGTTGTGACAGAAACTTAGTTTTACTGTTCTTTAGAACTTGTTACTTTTGTTTGATTTTTTTTGTATTCCCAAGTGTACATTTAACTTGGATTGATTTACTGAAGGTTATTATTACAGATTTGGATAGTAATAAATATTTCAAACCTTGCATCTTTTTGTTTTCTTTAACATAAGTTTGCCATCAGATAAAATGCCCATTTTTTTATTATTTTTATTCAACTGAATATTTATGCAATGACAAAACAGTGCTTTTGTAAATTATCTTATTAATTAATGCAACTTTATGTTAATTAATATGCAATGACTTCTTATTTCTCATATAACATGTAGCTATTACAGCTTTGTGTAAGGTAATACAACATTTATAACTGTGTGTAACATGTAGCTATTGCAGCTTTGTGTAAGGTAATACAACATTTATAACTGTGTGTAACATGTAGCTATTGCAGCTTTGTGTAAGGTAATAAGACATTTATAACTTCATGTAGCTATTGCAGCTTTGTGTAAGATAATAAGACATAACTGTGTGTAACATGTAGCTATTGCAGCTTTGTGTAAGGTAATACAACATTTACAACTTCATGTAGCTAGTGCAGCTATGTGTAAGGTAATGAGCCATCTTCAGCCTCATGTAATATGTAGCTAGTGCAGCTTTGTGTAAGATAATAAGACATTTATAACTTCATGTAGCTAGTGCAGCTTTGTGTAAGGTAATAAGACATTTATAACTTCATGTAGCTAGTGCAGCTTTGTGTAAGGTAATAAGACATTTATAACTTCATGTAGCTAGTGCAGCTTTGTGTAAGGTAATAAGACATTTATAACTTCATGTAGCTAGTGCAGCTTTGTGTAAGGTAATAAGACATTTATAACTTCATGTAGCTAGTGCAGCTTTGTGTAAGGTAATGAGCCATCTTCAGCCTCATGTAAAATGCAGCTTTTATGAAAACCAACAAAACCCAAATACTTTAAAGTACAAGTCTTTGTGATTTTTACAAATATATACATAAGATGAGTGCATCCCAGTAATTAGGGTGCTGGACTGTCTCTTTGGAATTGACATTCCATAATTTAATTCCCTTTACTGAAAAAAAAAGAAATAAAATTTTACTCTGCGCTTTGGGACTGTGAATGCATTATGAGAGTGACAGCTAAATCCAACTGTTTGTTCTGAAAAGAATAGCCCAAGAATTGGTGCTGACTGGTTGCTTTCTCTCTAGTCTATCGCTATCAAACTAGCACAGATATCCCTCTAGTAGCTTTGCATGAAAATCCAACAAACAAACATGTTGACTCGTGAATCCTCACCTTTACGTGGATGCTGTTAAATATCTTATTGCCTAACACAGAGTAAGCTTTAGTATTTTAATAAAAGAAAAATTATTTGTACAGCTATGTGGAAAAAGAAACAATTATCATAGATAGTTAAACAAAATTAAAAGCATGGCTCTTTAAACTTTGGTGCTATTATAGAATGAAATATAAAGCTTTAAGTTTTATTGTTTAGAAAGAAATACAGTCAGTTCTGGGCATAGGAGTGGACGCTTCACGTATTATATATGGCAACCCATGTAAAACCCGTTCCTTCATCAAACATGCTGCTGCAGTTGGGATTGACCTTTTGACATTCGATAATGAATCGGAACTTTATAAGATCAAAGCCCTTCATCCTGCAGCTCAGCTAGTGCTCCGTATCTATGTGGAAAACAGTGGGTTTGTGTGTCAGCTTGGCACGAAGTTTGGGTGTGATCCAAAGAGTGCCGAACATCTCTTATATGTTGCTCAGGAATTAGGACTTGACGTTGTAGGAGTAAGGTTAGTAACTACTGATGCCTAATTTATTTATACCATAAATATAAATCTATCTGTTGCTAATATATATAATTATGTCAGTGAGGCATAAATATAAAGGGTGTGAATTCATAGGGATGTGTACAGTACAGAAATAAAAAATATAATAAAGGATACAATAGCTATAAATGACCTTGTAATGTAAAGGTGTTCACCTTGTAAAGGGCACCCTTCTTTCTGGCATAGATTTTTATTACAACCTAGAGTAATAGATAATAATCAAAAACAGATGAGATATTCTGTTGATGAATTATATATTCAAGTAATAACTTAAAACGACTTGAAATTCAACCTTACCTTTGTAAACTGAAAAAGTTGTGTTTTTTGTAAAATCACATGGGGAACTCCAGGTAATTCAAGGAATGCTTCTGAGCATGCTGACTTTTATTATTTGGTCAAGAAACTATTTTGTGTAACAAGTAATGAATTAGTTACATATGTTAACTAGATATTTTGCTGTGATGTTTTTTCACCTTCATATGCTTAACATAAGATATTGATTTTTTTAATGCAATAAAGAGTATTTACAGTATCAGGGTATTTGAAAAGTTGAAATATTACTTTGAAACATGTTATATTAATTAACAGTAACTAGCAGAAACATGGCTGTTTGTGCTAGTATTATAAAAAAAAAAAAAACAAAAGTAAGAG